TTTTTTCTATAATTCAGGAAATGGAAAACTGTGCTAAAATGTACGAATTAGACTAAGAGTGTAAATGTAAACTGCTTTTTTTATTTAATGGCCTTTAAAAAGCAATGTCTCGAACACGTGTAAGAGTTATTTTTTTGGCATTAAAAAAATACTTATTGTTTGTTTGTACTAAGTAATCTGCATATGAAATATAACAATAAAGTTTGTTGCAAAACTATCTTTTTTTATGGGCCATCTCTACATAAAACTGTATAATTTATGTGAAAAGATCACCTCATACATTGTATGACCCACCACAGTGAGTTTTGATTAAACTGTTTCTTGATTGCAATAGTGATGGATGCATTTACAATGTACAACACTATATGTGTACTTAATTGACCTTCCCCCGATGAAGCATTTCAGGGCCACAAAAAATAAATTGGAAACAAAAATTCTAAATAGACATAATGTTTTTAAAAATCCCTACCAGCAGGAGGACAAGTTTGCTATATACAAAGCAAAGAATTTAAACTCAGATTGGTTTAAAAGTCTTGGTTTGCTTTTTGTACTAACTTCAGATAAAATAATGTCACTCAGTTTAACTGTGAAAAAATATTATCCCTGAATAAGCAGTGAAACCTTAAAGGACAGTAATTTCACATAAGAGATAAGATTGTCTTCAATTGGCCATTACCGGTACTTGGGACTGAATTTGATGAAACAATGAAGAAATGTAAAATGGTTTCCATGTTTACATAGCCTGATGTAAACATGTGCGAGGTTGGGAGAACACGAGATAAGTGTAGGAAACCATGATGCTAAGCAGAGTGGTTTCCAGCTTATCAAGTGTTCTCCCAACCTCCCAAGTGTTTACATCAGGCTATGTAAACACGGAAACCATTTTACATTTCTTTTATAAAATAACTATTGAAAGAGGAACGAAAACCGTGTTTACATACGCTCATGTAAAATGGTTTTATGGCCAATCAGAGCGTGTGTACTATTTGAATTATTTTATAATTAAAAATACTGGCCATGTTTCCTTCAGTTCTCCTTCATTTCTGAATCAGTTCTCCAAGAGCTTAGCTTTTAACATGCTAAAGGGACCAAAATCAACTCAAAAGGAATCATTGTCCTAGGATCCCACTGTACTAACTAAAAGAGGATCTGTGTTCATGAACCAGATCTCTAGCTCTGATGAACAGATGTAAACTGAATGATACCTGCTCAAGAATACACCTTCATGATGAAAGAAGGTTCCCTGCCTCCTAAGGAGAGGTGAACTATTGTATTCAGGGCATACTTTCCAAATTTATACAGCCCATGCTCAAGAAAAGAAACTCTCCTTTGAGTGAAACATGATGTTCTGAGAATCCAGTATAACAAATTCATAATAACTTGACTGAGCATGTTAAATCTTGAAAGGCCAAGCTCATCTGCAAGATCATCTCCAATGAAGTGTCTTGATAAACTGCTTGAGAAATTGTAACTGAGATAAAAGGGATTTTTGCTCGCAAATTCCTGTAAAAGTGCCTCAGTCAACACCACTGAATCAGGGTCTGGTTTGCACTGTCGCACTCTTATCATATTGCACAGTTTCCATTCTTCTTCATAGTTGTCACATAGTAAATCACTTGTCATTCCTAGAATAGACAACACTAACTCTTAGGGTACATGCTCTGAATCAGTACTAAATTATACCCATGTCTCTTCTTACAGCAAACACATCTGGCAGACAGAACCTTCAAGAGCCATTCTCAAAGGTGCTTGTTTCAAAGAGCAGACAGTATTTATACTAGCTTTGATGACTTATATTTACACTATAATGCATTTACATTTATGCTAAGAAAATAGTTGAATTCAATGAAATTGCAAATTTTTCAACAAATTTGTCATTCCTCAACAAAAAATGCTTAAATGGTTGTAACCTTTACCTTAGTCAGAATTTTTTTTCAAAACCCTCAACTCCCAAGATCTGATTGTTAAATCTCCCCTCTAAAAGCTGTACATTTCCCTGTGATGGTGTTAGATCAAGATAACAACTTCCACCAGATAAATTTAAGTATTCCTGTTTGCTAGATAATGAATGGATATTATAGGGCGAAGTTACCTGTTAATCACTTCTGGGAGTTAACGTGCCGAAGGAAGAAATGTGTGTTAATTTTTCTCAACCACTAGAAGCATATAACCAAGATTATATGCTTCTGGTAATATTTAAAAAGTGTCAAGACAACTTTTTATACCATGTAGACACTTGTGATGTGACGGCATACATAAAAGGGTACTTTGCGACACTCAATTGCAACAACTTCACTTCTTAAATTATGGCCCAATCACTCTCTGTGCTTACTTACCCAGATAAAAACCAACATATTTCCACAAAGTTTGGTAAGCATCCTTTTCAGTTTTTGACAAAGAAACACCAAGAATTTCTAGTCCATCAACTACAACAGATGAAAATGTAGACAATGTACCAGCTAAATCCTCTTGGTTGATTGGACATCCAAACTGGAGAAAAAGACAAAGGCAAAGAAGTATTGAGACTAAAGAAAATTATCAATTAGGGTATTATTACTAGTAACTGATCCAATACCAAATTCTCCAGCTAACATCGTATGAGTTGTTTGACAGACAGTAAGGAGAATTACTACTAAGATCTTAGAGGTGAAAGGGCTAAGAGTAAGCATGATTTAGATTTCCTTGAAAGGATCACGTGTTGTTCAACAACAACAAAACGCAGTCAAGTTCTTTCGGTGGTACAAGGTAATTTAACTAAATTATACCTACATTTTCAATTTCCCACCCACCGTCACGATGAAGAAGGTGACGGCGTACAGCAGCATGGAGCAGACGCACCCTCATGCAGGCCTCTTTAATTTCACTCGACGAACCAAGAACAACAGCCCTCACAAAGAAAAGGGTCTCAAACAGTCTTCGGCGAACATCTCCGTTAGGGGAAATGCGTCCTGTAGCTGACAACACCTGTTACATAATATTTAAACAAAAATACATAAATGATAAAATTATTAGTCGTGTCACTGACGTCTAGTTGAAGAACAGTGGTTTTTAGAGTTCGTTGCTAATTGATCACTCTGACGGATATCTATGTGTGTTTGGAAAGCGTACATGTGCACAAAAATTTTACGATGTGTCAAAACCATAATAATTATGTTGGTGTCCAATATGACACCAAAATTATCCAACCACTGATCACACAGTCTATAGAGGTAAAGTCAAAATAATAATATATGTACCTTATTCCCATAGGCAGCGGTGAATGAGGAAACAAGACTACCATACATGAGAACAAGGCCGGCAAAGACACTGTTTCGGACAAATACCCGCCTTCCTAACTCCCACATTTGCCAATCAACTTCCCATGGAGGTTCTTGTTCATAGAATTCGATAAATCTCGCGCAATGGGAATCCTCAGAGAGTCTTCCAAGATCTTGGACAGCCCTAAGTACGTAATGACCTTTTATTGCTTTTTCACCGCGAACTCTCGCTACCTCTTCCATCGCATTATCCGCCAGAGGGTCGCATTCAAGCCTCTTCCTGTTTAAATCCTCCTCGGAAATAGCCAACATGTTGGTTTGTTACACGCGCGTTCCCAGCTTTGACAGGTCTTTTTACTTCCTCGTTCAGTCACAAATCGCCGTCTGGGCTTTAAAGTGAATGCGTAGAGTTGAGCTTCGGAGATGTTTATAGTTTAGTTTAAGTTTGTAGCGGTAATTCATGATTTTTTAATGCTTTTTCACCGCGAAAAAAATCTCAAGAATCGCATTCATACCTCTTCTTGTTTCACTCCTTATCGGAAATGGCAGACATATTGGTTATTTCGAACGTATTTTGGAGAGGACCTGGCACTGCTGCAAACACAAACATCCCAGGTAACCTTGCAATATAAAAATTAAAATGGCGGAGAAGTTGAGCATCCTTGCTTTAACGTCTAAACCATTCTAGTTTTACAAAACTTACTCAGTACTGCGTTATTTTATACTTTCCCCCTGCAATACTGTGCAACCTTCAAGATGTTTGCCAAGTTTATGAACAAGAAGGATTTCCACCCAGGCTCTAAGGCTAACATCAAAAGGGTAATTTGGAGACCTGCTCAGTAAACGTAAACACGCGCATTATTCTTTCTTTTCCCTTAAACGCACAATCTTTCCATCTTAAGCACGCAAACACGTTTCATAGTGCCACTACTACCGCCAGAATAATTGAGACATGAGTAACCAATCACGGAAGTTGTTGGAAACGAACAATGATTCGAACTTATGATCAATTAAACTGTTTGAAACAGTGTTAAATTTAGTAACAAGGCAAGCAAAGATGACTAAGGGTGAAGGTGGTATTCATTGCTCGTTTTCTGTATTCAGATTGGTCAATTTCTTGTAAGTGACTTCAACAATGATAGTTGCTTTTTGTCAAAATTATTTCTGATTTTTTTTTCTTAATTGCACACTGTTAGAAATATATATTAGACTTGACTTGGGATCCTTTCATAATTATCTAATTGTTCAGAAATTTCACATATTGCAATTGCTTTGGGTACCTTTGTAATAGGTATGGATGGCAGAGCAAAAACTGCTTGCTTCCCAGCAGAAAGAAAAAGAACTAGAGCTCCAATATAATAAGGAACAAGAAAGATTCAAGAACAGGTACAAAGTTTAATTAGAAAATATAAATTACTAGATACCTATCAGAAATTTGCTGAATGTTTTAAATCTGGCATAAATAACAATGTGTTGCTGTAGCTAAAGAAAACATGGAAAGTCTGATGATTACTGTTACTGTAGTTGTGACAATGTTAGTCACTGTTTCCTACCACTGTCCTTCTCGGACTACGCTCACCCAGTCAATCAGACCACACAATTACTAGTGAGTGTTTCTTCTGGGTTCTAATAATTTATAGCAAAATCTTCTTAGAAAGCAATCCACTTTACATGCATCTTTAAAGGGTCACTAATCTATTGAAATACCTTTTGATTTGTCTGTGGTTTCACAATCATGTACAAGATTGTTGCTAATCACCAGCTGCTGGCAAAAATTTGCAGGATGAAAAAGCAGCAATCACAAGCTGGATTTTGTGCTGGTGATTGCTTGGTAATGCAAAATGAACAGATTTGATGTTATGCACTTAAAATCATTTGATATCTTTGAGCCACCTCACTTCAAATTTCAGCCAGCAGTGTGAAATCTTAGCTACAACCCTGAATATGAGCAGATGAAATTTAACACCCCACTGTCTAAATTGATAACTTCTCTTTTTCACCAGGCAAGCCATCAGCAATGATGAAAGAATCAAGTCTGGCTTAGATTTCTTATATGATGCTCCTCCTGGTTTCAACAAAGGTTACTGTTTTGTGAAATGTCATTGTAGAGTGAAGTCTAGATTTAGCATTCTTAAGAAAAGAGACTGAAGTTTAAAACTAGCTTCTTGTACTATGTGAGTATGGGAAATTCTACAATATTGTGCATTTCATCAAAATGAAAAAAAAAAAACGAATTATACACATAAAGAAATGCTTTAAAACACCACAAATAAAATTAGAAAAAATTAATAGGGTTCTAGTGTTTGAATATCTTTGGCAAATTATTTGTTTTTAAATCAGTTTGAATTTTGTTCCCATTTATGTTGTAATCATTGTCATATTTTAAATCAAAACAATATTTGAACCACAACTTGTTTATTTGAACAAATGCACTCATGGATGCCTCTCTTTTTATTTGTTTCTTTTTGCACATGAATCAAATGCTGCTGCTGTGATTACTCATTTTAGATCAGAAGGTAAACTTGAGTGTTGCACATTAGGTAATGAACATGACAGGTGTACATGTTTAATACTGCAACATGTTCATGTAAAGTAATCTTCTTAACGAGAAAAGAATTTGATACATGTAGTCAATAAATTTAAACCCTGTTATATTGTACAGTAATGGTACCAAGGATCTTTACCAGTACTGAAATCTGCAGTCAGGAATCTCGCTATTGGAGAAAGAATTTTTAGAATGGCGTTTATACTTTTAAAATGCATTGTTATGCCACTATAATTAAACTGATCACACAGGTAATTGTTTTCTTAGAGGTATTAAGTGATTTTTTTGTCTTTTTCTAAAGGTACCAGAAGAGGATGAGGGAGATGTGAAATTTGAATGGCAGCGTGGAGCCCCAAGAGAGGCGTATGTACCCTAATGACCTAAAGATAGAAGAAGACATACGGCTCTAAAGTTGCTAAATTTCTTCACTGCAAAACCTTTTTCCTTTTTTTTTTTATTACAGGTATGCCAAGAGTTTGGGCATTGAAGCCCGGGATCAGCCCTTTGGGATTGCTGTAAGCCTGTCATGCTTTTGATCCTTTCTTGTTCTCTCATATATGTGCTGTTTTGGTACAAATTTCATCCTCTTGTCACAAGCATGGAAAAATAAGAAAATTCCATGAGGAATTGACCCTCAGACCTTCAGATTCCACTCTCCCATGCTCTATCACTGAGCCACAGAGACTCCATGGTGAGCAAGGCACACGTCCAGGATAACGTTAGGATCAGCAATGTCAACCCATGAGGACTCAGATTATTTTCTTTGTCCCACGCTTGTGACAAGAAAAGATGAAAAACATCTTTCTCTATTTCTTTACCAAGCTCAAAATTTATCATCTTTCTTATTCTTAACAAATTTTATCCTTTAGTTCTAATTCTGTAAAGTACACATGTATCTATGGCTCACGTTTATTTCTTAATCTGGTGTAGGTTCGCAATGTCAAGTGCATTAAATGTGGGAAGTGGGGTCACATCAACACAGACAGAGAGGTAGGCTAGTAGGGCATCATACTCTAACGTTCGTTATTTTCTTCTATCTTATCTCCTTTGATCTGATCTCAGCAGATGTGTTACCTGAATGTATAATTATTTATGAAGGGGATATCTGTTTGAAGTTAGAAAGAAAATGACTCCTAGGACTTTGCTCGTGTGACTGTGATGTTTGATTGGGGTGTCTGTGAGGTACAGCATGTGCCAAGCGGGGATCTGGAGTGTGCTCTTCACGTGCTTAAGTCACAATTTATGCTTAACATAATAGTTTATCTCCCTTCCATATTTCATAAATTTGTTTGTATATAAATTAAGAGAATTTGTGGATACGTGTTAATGAAGATAACACCTTTTAGTTGATGAGTGTTGATTGTTATCATTTGTTTGCAAGGAAATTTATCGATACTACAAGGCGAGGTTGCATGGTTGTCCCTTCAGGAGATTGACTAGGAGAAATCTCTTATTATTATTTTTATACCCAGTCACAATGCGATGGGTGTAATTTTAAAATCGTGCCTTGTTTTGCTTTTTCTAGTGCCCGCTGTTCAACAAAAGTAAAAATGCCAATGTTGATCCAAGTCTTATCACAGGTTTGAAGATTTCTGTATTCACTTAACGCGTTGCCGTGTAATACAAACGTTCCCTACATTAGAGGAAAAAACCCTTCACACATACCATCGATAGTCTTTTACGCTGCGCCCGTTGCCACACAATACGTCACATCATGCTGCCCTTTGAACACAATGAGGTCGTGTACAACAGCGTCAGCCGGCTCAAAAACGGACAGCGTTCGAAATTCATGCCCCAGTTCTTCAAACTGAGCATTGCTAAGTATCGCTGTCATGTGTATTTCAATGGCGGCATAGTACCTGACGCCTATTTACACCTCGTCAGAAAAAAGGGCAGCTAATTAGTAAGCAATTACAAAAAGACCTCTCGTTGCAGCGATTAGATCGCCCCTGATGAAAGCACTAGACAGGAGTGTCGAAACTTTAAGTCTATGAATTGTGACTTCTCGGTTACATTCATTAAATCTTTAAACCAGAGTAGCATCAAACCATGTCTGATTGTCCACCTGGTTGCCTTGTGAACTTTAATGTATCTTAAGAGCGGGCACAGTTTCTCGTTTACGTCAATGCCCGAACGCAAAGAAGAAAAAAATCATTATCGTTGTCTGGCATCAGGATTGAGTCAGCCCTAGGGTTACGTCTTTTTTCTGCAAAATTAATGTGAAAGCGTATCACTATGTTGTTTGACGAATAGATAAACATAGTCTAGTTCATGAAAAGCATACAGGGACATTTTTCTTCGGAATCAGACAATTTTCTAACCTTTTTGTTGGATACCTTTTCTTACAGACATTGCAGACCCCATGAGGCTTTTAAAGGACATGCAATCTGAAGGCCTAACATTGAAACAAAATGTGTTAGGACGTGTCTTTGATCCCAGTGACCCAAATCAGGTGAGGAATGCTTTCCAGTCTAAGAATCATTTCGTTTTTGTTTGCAGAGTGCCTGAAATCTTAATAACTGAAAACTGAAAGCAGAACAAAGATGATATCGTTTTGATGGGTTCCCTAACAGCAAACTATCGTTTTTTGACTTTCATTATCCTTTCAGACACTTAAACTTTTCTTGTTTACCGCCATTTTGGCGGGTGGTCACGGGCTGGCACTTGTCGCGCGAAGAATACCGCTTACAATTGACAGGCCGAATTTGTTCTTGGCAACAGCGGTTGTAGTTAAGAGTGATTCCTTTAATGAGATATTTTGTCTGTTTTTGCAGCAAATTGTGGCATCTGATGACGAAGGTGAAGACGACGCAGAAGCCGCTTTCTTAGCTTCTCTAACGGAGAAACAAAAGAAGAAATTACTGAGGTTTGACTTCATTTGTGGAATTCTCTTATTTCGCCTTTTCTTCTACGAAGCTTAATGGGAGGGGCATGCACAATCTTGAACATCTCGACAGAAAAAAACAAAAAGAAAAACAGAACAGAACAGAACGAAAACCAAGAGATTTTGCCAATGTTTATCGCGCCTCGTATTCTAGAATGGAATTCGTTCTACTTCTCACGCTTGTCAAATGTAATTTGAGGTGAAAGACGAAATCTCAGCTTTCTTTACTCTAATATTGCTGAAAAATTTATGTGATTCTGTTTTCGTACAGAAAATTGGATAAACTTGAACGGGAGGAAATGGAGGCACAAAGTGGCCATAAGAAACGTAAAAAGAAGAAGAAGAGGAAGAGGAAACGAAATTCTTCATCTGACAGCGAGGAAGAGTTAAGTAAGCAGAGCAAAATGGGATATCATTCCGAAAGTGATTCCTCTGACGCCGTAGAAAGAAAAGCGGGGAAGAAATCAAAGAATGATGAAAAAAGGAGAAAGTCGAGAGAATCAGCAGAAAGGGATTTAGGCGAAAAGGACAGAAAGAGGAACAATTCAGACACAGATAAACATCACGGGGATAAACACAGGCGGTCCAGAGATGCAGAAAAAGACATCCACGATCGCAGAGATTCAAACAGACGCTTAGACGATATTAAGGCACACAGACACTCCAAGGAAAGTGTAGCAGATGAGCAGAGACATCATGATAGCCACAGACACTCGAGAGATCATAAAACGGACAGGCGTCATAGTGAGACAAGGAGACATTCGAGAGACATCACGACAGCTAGGCATTCTAGGGATGAAAGAAATAAGACAAGCCTTCAATTAAAATAGGCCTCCTATAAAGGGAAGGATAGCGCACAGAAGGGACACCAGTGTTTTCTCGGGTGAATCCCGGCGCGAATCGGAACGAATTTAGAGTTTATTTGCACTGTTACACTAACGCAACTGAAAAAAAGTATTCATCGGGAAATTTTGTTGTGTCATGTACATGAGCAAATGTGTTTCTCACACATAAATTGTCGCAGAACTCCACGTATCGACCAGACTGAAAAATTCTTTGAAATCATGTGTTAACAACTGTGTTTTCAATTGGTGAAGCGGAGCGTTTTAAGATTAAAGTGAGTAGTTTATTGTTTAATATACTTTACCAAATATCTCCTTCCTGATTAGCCAATAACGAATAGACTGCATAACCGAATTTATTACATGCACTTGAAATTTAAGTTCAAATTTTAACAATCAGTCATTCAAGAACCGACTGATATGCAATTCATCTGTCACAGGCGTTGTGAATAACTGGTTAGAATAAATCGTGCGAGTATTTTTCCAAACCATTATAAATTGTTGTAATTAAGTCTTGATGAGTCACTTTTTGAGAACGTTCACGATAAATCACGGAAAGCATGAGAAGTTCACGCGTATGCATAGACCCACCTGGTAATATCGGCCATTATTGAAAGGGAATAAGTTTATTGCCTAGGAAGAGATTTCGAGCAGCAGCAGAACACTCTCTTCTGCATGCAAGGCAGGGTTTTCAATGCTTTTTTCCAGTTATCTAAGCGTCTGTGCTCGGAGAGGCGAAACCCAAACGCGAGAGCGCTCGCAGGCTCAACACACTTCAAGGGGTTCCGTAGGCAACGGTAGACTGCTGATCACTAGCTTTTATTGAAACTGCTGTGAGTTTTAATTGCTAAACATCACATATCGGAAATCCGGTTGCTTTGCACTTTTTTTCATCAATGGTAGACACTTGAAAGAGGGGACCGCAAGTGGAAAGGAAATTTTGAAGCAGGCCAAGCACGGAGCTATGAGTCGATGCAGAAGGTGGTCGTAGCAAAGATTCATTAGTATTGCTCTTACGAGCGGCAAACCGTGCGAGATTTAAGCTGCCGAGCGTACGAAAGTACCTGTGTAATGCAAAAAAAGACAGGTAGGTAAAACCGGGTTCATTTGCAAAGCTTTACGTAATTTTCATGTAGCATCTGGTTATGAACTCGAGCCTCTCAAGCCTTTCCAACAACGCTCCACCAATTTATGTTATTTAAATTTCGATAAACTGAGGAAAATTCTATCTACAAATTTTGTATATCTCCTAACAAGCGTCATACCCGTTTCATTACAAACTGAGAAATCAAAACACTCCTTTTTTTTTGTAGTAACGTTGGAGAAATTTGATTTTGATGTGTTTAATTTTCAATCTTAATTTATTACAGAGAAACTTTGATAGCAAATTTTCTGGCTGTGAATTGAGAAGCCAAAAACTCATTCACCAGTGTTTGATAAACCGCCATGAACTAAGTTTTTTAACCCACAAAATCTTAATATGCAAACATTTGTCCTTTTAATCTAATTAGTAAAAAAGGAATAATTCATTCATTCAAGCCAGCTGTCGATGAATGGATCATTTTGTTCGATTGCCCGCAGTTGTCGAACTCGCCAATGAAAAGAGTGCTTTTACCATATGGGGAATTGATTAATACTTAACTAAGAAAGAAAAAAACGAAGCTCTTTTTGTGGGAATCAAATATTGATGCTGCCACACCCTTTGAGAAATCAAACACAGTTGAACACTTGTTGTCTCACACTAGAGCTGTTCAGCAATTTTTACCATGAGGGAAATCGTGCATTTACAGGCCGGTCAATGTGGAAATCAAATTGGTGCAAAGGTACGTCATATTTTAGGAGATGGCAAATTAAAATTCAATTTAATAGCAGATTTTACTAAAATATCCCATGACACGTTGTCTTTAAAACGAACTGAAGTGAACATCTTTGATTAAAGAATAAAGACTGCCAGATTGGCATACATAGGAGAGGAATTTGCTCAAATCGAAAAACTCGTTTGCAAACCGTCGTTTGAGAGCTACCAATAATTTTCTTATGCTACACTGCGGCTTTTAAGACTTAAGAATATCCTTTAAAAATTATTCCAGACAAAAGCGACTCTTCGCTCACTTTCGAGAAATACATAATCGCATCAAAAGTAAGAATTTCTTCGAAGATGAAATGTAAATCCCGTGAGTACAAGTTTTCGGAGAACTGATGAAAACTTTTGTCGTGGTTTCATTTCAAACCATTTCGCCACGAGGTCCTTGAAAGCTGTACGAGGAGAATTCAACGGCCTATTTGAAGTTAACGCTTATGTCACTAGCAAGTTTTAATTATCAGTTCTGGGAAGTGATTTCTGATGAACACGGAATTGACGCCTGTGGAGCGTATAACGGAGACAGCGACAGCCAACTGGAAAGGGTGAATGTTTACTACAACGAAGCTACAGGTAACTCAATTAAAAATGAATTTATATTGTACAATGTAGTCTTGTTTTTACTTTATAACATTCAAGAATGACTGAAATGTGTTCCTTGCAATTAAACTTTACATTTCTAATGTAAATTAAAACCAATTTTCACCGAATGTCCATGCACATTTTTTCAATCATTATTTTTTTATCTATTTTATTTATTTTTTCTTTTTTTTAGGTGGAAAATATGTGCCGCGAGCAGTGCTTGTCGATTTGGAGCCCGGTACAATGGACTCTGTGAAAGCCGGAGCATTTGGACAACTTTTTAGACCAGACAACTTCGTTTTTGGTAAGAACAGTTGCTTTTTAAAAAATATATTCGCTACGTGTCCTTTGAGTAATGTCAGTAATTGGACTGCAGCAATTTACATGCTAAAATCAACATTTCATACTTCAAAACCAGATGTTCGTGGTGATAAAATATTTACCATCATAAGAACTCAAAATATCGGCTATGCCAGAAAACAAAGAATCGCTTTGAAAAAGATTACTTTCAAAAGATTTACGAGATACTGTTGGCTTTCACGCCAAGGAATATGTGAGTAATCAAACCCACATGTTTACAATTTTTTTCGGTTTTTCTCCACGTTAAAATAGAATTAAAAATTCAGATGTTCTAATTTTTTATTTAGCATTAGTTATTCTTGTATTTTTATTTCAAAATAAGAGATATTTCAACATGAGAATGTTTTGATAATAACAGTTTAAATTTGCTCTTTTTTCCAGTAGTCTCCGAAAAATATTTAATAATTCACACAATCGTAAACATCTGAAACAAATCTTTTAATTAGTTCTTCTAATTAATCTTTTAAAATAAATTTTGAATTAAGAAAAATAATAGTAAAAAAAACCGGTTATGAATCATTATCATAAACATCCATTTATTTTCTTCCTCTCCTTCTAAGAAACCAATCATTGTGGAGGGTTTGGGTGTGGGGGGCAGGGGTCGCATGGTTTTCAGGGGGAGTGGGGAGGATCAGTCTTCACCAGCAAAGTATAAAGGGGAACTATATAGAAATTTAACTGCCAATTGGATCGTCAACCAAGATCCCCCCTCTTCAAGGCGATACATCATGACCGCTCCTTAATCCCTGAATTTATTTGTTTCCCTTTCCTGTCAGGTCAAAGTGGAGCGGGTAACAACTGGGCCAAAGGTCATTACACAGAAGGTGCAGAGCTGGTGGACTCGGTGTTAGACGTTGTTCGCCGCGAAACAGAAGGCTGTGACTGCGTTCAAGGCTTCCAACTGACGCATTCCCTCGGGGGTGGTACTGGGGCTGGCATGGGCACTTTGCTCATTTCGAAAATTCGGGAGGAATATCCCGATCGAATTATGACGTCATTTAGTGTAGTGCCGTCGCCAAAGGTAATTTAGCGCAAACTGAATGTACAATAGGGGGACACTCAACTTTGAACTTTTTAATCAAGGTGGTACTGTATGATACAAAGTGGGGCACTTGTATATCATCAAAAAATTATTTGGTTTCTCTTTATACTCATTTCTCGTCTTGGTGGAATTAATTTAAAGAAATAACAGTACATAATAAACCCCGTTGCTCTTCGAGTTTTCACTAGCTCCAAATCTTGCGCAACTTGTTCCTATCGTTGAGTGAGCGAAGAAAAACAGGTGGACTTGTGGTTACTATGAGAAAGGTCATGGGGTAGATGTCTCAAGAATATTACTTGTTTCTGATAATTTAGCGACCTTATTTGTTCTAAAATCCACCGAGAGGCTGGTGTAGGACCTACCTTAATTCCAGTATGTATATATGGATGCTGGAAAGGCTAAATTCTTACCGAAATTAATTGAAAGCCGAAAACTCCCCATTCAATGCAATCAAATCAAATTAAATTCTTTCATCCTCCTGGGCAGAGTTTTGGGAAATTGTGACACACCAGAACTGTGGCTAAAATTATTTTCGAGGTTATTCGTGGCACATTTTTGGAGCGTACAATTCTTTGAACGTCCGGTTTGTTTTTTTTATCGATTTTAATTCAAACTTGGACGAATTTCAGGTATCGGACACTGTCGTGGAACCGTACAATGCCACCCTGTCTGTTCATCAGCTGGTCGAGAACACAGATGAGACATTCTGTATTGATAACGAGGCTCTGTACGAAATCTGCTTCCGAACGCTCAAGCTAACCACACCCACCTACGGGGATTTGAATCATTTGGTGTCCGCTACAATGAGTGGGGTGACAACTTGTTTACGCTTTCCTGGACAGGTAAGAGGACTTCACAGCCGCTTGTAATCTTTTGTTTCCGAACAGAGCTACTAAAGGGATCACGGTAGCACTGTACCACGTTGCCGAAACGCCACTGACAAAACTTCTTTAAGAAATCTTCTCAAGAGGAATACAACACCGCATGTTTAACTGTTACTTTTACGTTCAAAATGTTTGCTACAAAGGGGAATAAACAGCTTTTCTTAACATGAAAATTAGATTAAACAGTAGCCCATTGCAACAAATTTGAATACAAGAAGGTACAAATGAGCACGAAAGGATAAACTTGTAAACGTAGAAAATGTCAGCACTCAGACATAGATCGCTACAATTTTGCAACCGGCTTTCTATAAATGAAAAGCTTACAGCCACGACATTTAAGTTACCTAATTCCTACACAGAACGATCAAAAACTCTACCAATACATCGAAACTGACCAATCACAGCTGACATCGTTTCTTGAGTCTTGCAGCTATTGACAATAATTTTCTCGAATCAAATTTTAATCTTAACAAATTTCAGCTGTCTTTTGATAATGATGATTTCTGCTCAGGCTGCAGAAAAGCAAATTACAGCCACCTTCTCGTGGACAATCGTGCTACATGATCGAACATTAATCTTGAGCTCGAGCCAGAAAAATAACAGAGATCCTGAAAATTCCCAAATCGCTTATAACCGAAAATGTTTTTTTTATTTGTTTACATCTTAGCTCAATGCCGATCTGAGGAAGTTGGCAGTGAACATGGTCCCATTCCCTCGCCTGCATTTTTTCATCCCAGGCTTTGCACCACTAACCAGCCGGGACAATCAGCAATACCGCGCACTGACTGTGTCCGAGTTAACTCACCAGATGTTCGACAACAAGAACATGATGGCTGCTTGTGATCCGCGTCATGGAAGGTACCTCACTGTGGCTGCCATGTTCCGTGGGAAGATGTCCATGAAGGAGGTTGACGAGCAGATGCTAAATGTTCAGAACAAGAACAGGTAATGAAGAGATATGTTAAATATTTGTCGTCTGCGCGTTAAGGGAATAAGAAAACTCTCCAAGAAGATATTAGCCACATCCAGCACAGTGAGGGCCCTATTAAGCTTCTCAAAATGATAGAGGACACCTAACATAGAATACCAAAGAACAACATTCCAAAAAACCCCTGGATCTCATTTTATTCATTTTTTTTTCATTAATATTTTTATTAGGGTTCCAAGGAATGGGTTGTCAACTTTTTAGGGGAATGGTTAGGTGGTGGGCTTACCCAGCGGAGGACTTAGGGTTCTATTGTATGTCCCCCTGCCTCCGGGCGAATTTAGTAAATAAAATTTTTAAAAAAATTCAAATATTCTTATCCATTAGTTATGAACTGCTCATGTCATATTATCTCAATTCCAGCACCTACTTTGTGGAATGGATTCCAAACAACGTGAAGACTGCTGCATGCGACATACCTCCTCGCGGGCTTAAAATGTCAGCGACCTTCATTGGTAACAGCACAAGCATTCAAGAACTGTTCAAAAGAATCAGCGAGCAGTTTACCGCCATGTTCAGACGCAAAGCATTTCTACACTGGTATACCGGGGAGGGAATGGATGAGATGGAATTCACTGAGGTGAGAAAAAGAAATTAATTCAGTGCTTTCAGGTCTCTGTTTAACAACAAATTTATGAACTCAAGATTCCTATCGCGAGATAGTTGATGAGGGTGAAACGCGAATCAAATAACATGCATAGAAATCGATCGTAAATAATCTAAGTGCATGATATACATTTGCCAGTTCTCTGAAAATTTAGCAGCAAGACAGACCAGTACGGCTGCTGCCATTACTCATTATTTATCACGGTATAGATAGCGAGTAGCGCAGCTAATCAGATTGCAGCATGGGTGATATCACGGTAATTGGGTCTTATCAACTGAGTTGATAACGTAAATTGGCCACCCTTAAGAGTTTCAAAGCTGACGTTCGAGCGTTGGTCCCGCGTCAGAGCTCTGACTCAGTGTTCTTCGTCGTTCTTTTGTGTTATCTTAGTAATTATGCCTATTTTGATGGTTTTATTTTAACAGGCTGAGTCTAACATGAATGATCTGGTGTCTGAATACCAGCAGTACCAAGACGCCACGGTCGATGAAGAAGAATTTGATGACGAAGAAGAATCAGAAGCTTAAATAAATATTTATCACGTCTTAGCGAACAGTGCAGTTTTTCATTTGAATCCTCTGCAGTTATTCCTCTCTTCCTTCATCCCCTCTCCTTACTTGCCTCTTCTCGCAGCCCGTCTCT